AACAGGAGTGTCGGCTCGGGAACGTGAGAGGGTATTGTGAAGGCTGAATCCTTTGGGTTTGCCCCCACTTCAGCAAAGCGTACCAGGTTATATTTAGAAGGAAAACTCCATGCACTTTCTGCATGCCGATCATTTGTTCCAGAACTGCCTCTGTTGTGGCTTACTCAGTCTCTTAGCAGGACTCTCAGCAGTCCTCGTTTGTTCCTAAGTTCCTCGTCGGTATCTGCTGGTTTAGCGCATCAGACGGCTCTCGCCTCTGAGCTTTGTTTTCTGCACACAGATCAATGTCTCTTCCCACTGCTATAGTCAGAGAGAGGGCCAGGAAAGAAGAGCGGAGTGTTCAGCGGCCCTCGGACAGACAGCCAGCCGGCACAACACCCAGTCCCGACGTCCAGTAAGAAGCCCATGACACAGCTTAGGGAGTTCACTTGTGCTTCTGGCCATGAGCGTTGGCCGAGGGGTGTTTGGGGCCAGTTTTGTCTTTCATCTCACATGGCCCGTGAAACTTGCAGCTCTCCTGAATACACTGGAGGAGCAGGGAGTAAAGCATTTGCTGCTCTGCTTTCTGTCCTATGAGTAATTCCTCTCATAAGCAGGTGCCTGGCACATACCTACTCAAAGCCATAGACCCAGGCCTCCTAGGCATGGGTCAGGAAGAACCCAGGAGTTTAACCGTCCATCAGTGCTACAGAGCTCCCGTGCTTTTTTTCTTCTTCTTCTTCCAGGTTTTTGCCATGAGGCTTGTGCACTTACTAGAGAAAAACAGAGAGACACAGAGAGAGGGAAAGTGAGAGATCTCATCACAGGGGGGCTGGCCATGCCACAATCCCTTCTCCATTCTCCTCTCAGGATTTTTGGCACACACACATGTCTGGCATGATTTTAAGCCTCTGGGTCTGGGACTCAAACCATGGTTGGCCATTGGGAAATCCAGTGCCTTAATCACTATGCCACTTGCTGACCTCTTTCTACTGTTTCTAAAGTCTATTCATTTTTTTCCAGGAGTGAAGGAAACAGAGAGTGAGAAACAGAAAGAAAGGCAATCTCAATGGAGTCTTGACCGAGCAATCCCCATGCCCTAGCTCCAGTCAGCCCAGGTTATAGGCATACACATGCGCAGTAGTGTCCTCCGGTCTCCGAAGGCGAGCGTGAACTTGCGCATGTGGGTTAGCCTCACAGAGCATTGTGTCTTACTGCTGTGTCACTACCTGTCCCTCTTTTTGTTGAAATTTGTAAAGAAAAGACAAAAATGTTATCTTTCATTTGGTCATTTTAGTATTTCTTTTTTAAAAAAATATGTATTTAATTATATTTATTCATTCATTTATTTTTAGTTTGGTCAGAGAGAGAGAAGAGGAAAAGTAAGAAAGCAAGCCGCCAGGTCTGGGACTTGAGCTGTGACTGGCCACGTGGGAGTGTCCACCACCTTAACCACCACGCCACCTGCTGGTCCCTGGTCATTTTAGTACTTCCTAACACAGACTACTACAAACATTTACCTTATACTATTTGTTACTGAATTTGCTCACCACCTGTTGTTATTGGTACAGTTTGGGTTACATGCGGCAAACATGTACTTTTTTTTTTTTTAAAGGGGCAGTTTACAATAATATAATGCCACTTTACACCCATTTAACAGGTAATAACAAGTACTAGTAAAGAAATTAGAATCCCCATAATATTGCTGGTGGGAATGTAAAATGCCATAATCATTTTTCAGCAATTATTCAAAATTTAAACATAGGGTTACCATGAGATACAGAAATTCTACTCCTCTATATACACTCAAGAAAAATGAAAACATTTGCTCACATAAAACTCGTACACAAGTCTCCACAGCAGCATTATTCATACTAACTAAAATGTAGAAGCAACCTAAATGCCCGTAATCTGATGCAAATGCAATGCGGTATGTCCATGTAATGGGCGGTGTTGGTCATAGGAAGAAATACAGCGCATACCCTGCTGCTACAAGGGTGACCTTGAGAGCATCACCGTAAGAGAAGTCGTCACAAAGGCTGTGTATTGCGTGATAGGCTTTACAACGAGTGTCCGAAATAGAAAGAGAGGGCCAGGAAAGAAGAGCGGAGTGTTCAGCGGCCCTCGGACAGACAGCCAGCCGGCACAACACCCAGTCCCGACGTCCAGTAAGAAGCCCATGACACAGCTTAGGGAGTTCACTTGTGCTTCTGGCCATGAGCGTTGGCCGAGGGGTGTTTGGGGCCAGTTTTGTCTTTCATCTCACATGGCCCGTGAAACTTGCAGCTCTCCTGAATACACTGGAGGAGCAGGGAGTAAAGCATTTGCTGCTCTGCTTTCTGTCCTATGAGTAATTCCTCTCATAAGCAGGTGCCTGGCACATACCTACTCAAAGCCATAGACCCAGGCCTCCTAGGCATGGGTCAGGAAGAACCCAGGAGTTTAACCGTCCATCAGTGCTACAGAGCTCCCGTGCTTTTTTTCTTCTTCTTCTTCCAGGTTTTTGCCATGAGGCTTGTGCACTTACTAGAGAAAAACAGAGAGACACAGAGAGAGGGAAAGTGAGAGATCTCATCACAGGGGGGCTGGCCATGCCACAATCCCTTCTCCATTCTCCTCTCAGGATTTTTGGCACACACACATGTCTGGCATGATTTTAAGCCTCTGGGTCTGGGACTCAAACCATGGTTGGCCATTGGGAAATCCAGTGCCTTAATCACTATGCCACTTGCTGACCTCTTTCTACTGTTTCTAAAGTCTATTCATTTTTTTCCAGGAGTGAAGGAAACAGAGAGTGAGAAACAGAAAGAAAGGCAATCTCAATGGAGTCTTGACCGAGCAATCCCCATGCCCTAGCTCCAGTCAGCCCAGGTTATAGGCATACACATGCGCAGTAGTGTCCTCCGGTCTCCGAAGGCGAGCGTGAACTTGCGCATGTGGGTTAGCCTCACAGAGCATTGTGTCTTACTGCTGTGTCACTACCTGTCCCTCTTTTTGTTGAAATTTGTAAAGAAAAGACAAAAATGTTATCTTTCATTTGGTCATTTTAGTATTTCTTTTTTAAAAAAATATGTATTTAATTATATTTATTCATTCATTTATTTTTAGTTTGGTCAGAGAGAGAGAAGAGGAAAAGTAAGAAAGCAAGCCGCCAGGTCTGGGACTTGAGCTGTGACTGGCCACGTGGGAGTGTCCACCACCTTAACCACCACGCCACCTGCTGGTCCCTGGTCATTGTAGTACTTCCTAACACATACTACTACAAACATTTACCTTATACTATTTGTTACTGAATTTGCTCACCACCTGTTGTTATTGGTACAGTTTGGGTTACATGCGGCAAACATGTACTTTTTTTTTTTTTAAAGGGGCAGTTTACAATAATATAATGCCACTTTACACCCATTTAACAGGTAATAACAAGTACTAGTAAAGAAATTAGAATCCCCATAATATTGCTGGTGGGAATGTAAAATGCCATAATCATTTTTCAGCAATTATTCGAAATTTAAACATAGGGTTACCATGAGATAGAGAAATTCTACTCCTCTATATACACTCAAGAAAAATGAAAACATTTGCTCACATAAAACTCGTACACAAGTCTCCACAGCAGCATTATTCATACTAACTAAAATGTAGAAGCAACCTAAATGCCCGTAATCTGATGCAAATGCAATGCGGTATGTCCATGTAATGGGCGGTGTTGGTCATAGGAAGAAATACAGCGCATACCCTGCTGCTACAAGGGTGACCTTGAGAGCATCACCGTAAGAGAAGTCGTCACAAAGGCTGTGTATTGCGTGATAGGCTTTACAACGAGTGTCCGAAATAGAAAACTATATAGAGATAGAAAGTATACTAGTGCTTCAGAAGCTTGCAGGTGGGGAAGGAGCGGCGGATCGAGAGTGACGGCTACAGATTATGATTTTGCTTTGGGAGGATTAAAAGGTTCTGGGATTAGGTAGTGGTTTTGGCTATTTGACCATGTGAATGTATTAAAAATCATTCAATTTAACTATTTTTTTTGTTTTTAGAGATTTTTGTTATAGGGCAAATGTACTCACCAGAGAGACAGAGGGACAGAAAGCAAGAAATCACCCCCCCCACACCCTGCATGGGGGATGGCCATGCCACGATCTCTCCTCCTTCATTCTCCTCTGGGGATTTTGGGCATGCATACACACACATCCAGCATGAGTTTTAAGCCACTGGGTTTAAGACTCGAACAGCAGTCAACTACATGGGAGTGCAGCAATGTAACCATCATGCCATCTGCTGGTCCCCAATTTTACAGATCTAATGTATGATTTTATAATATGTTAAAAAGCAAGTAACAAAGAATGAAACCTATATCTGTACCTTAAAAGGAAAATGAATATTCATGGTCATCTATATAAGTCAACTGTAAAAATAAATACTAAATTAAGAAAATAAAAATACAAACAAGAGATTGGGAGAAAATATTTGCAAAGCATGTAATCAAAGAAGTACATATATCTAGAGTTGATAAAGAACTCTTAGAGCTCAATAATAAGAAAACAAACAACCCAATCAAACAGAACAAAAGCTGCAGTGGCATAGCAGTAACACACATTACTCAGTGCTGAAGCCCTCCATATGAGAAGGTACCAAGTTCACATCCCAAGGCCTGCCTGTGTAGGTTAGGAATGCACATGTGCTCACGAGTCTTGCTGGCTGAGGCTGAACACATCCATATGAAATAAAGTACAGTGAATTTTATTTCCTTTTGAAAGGAGACTTCTCTAGAGCATGGCACAATAAAGTACTGAGGATCTAAGTGCTAAGAATGACACCGAATGAAGTGCTAAGATCACACTGATATTTTTCTGATTGTCATTGCCAGGTCATATGAGGGAGCTAATGGCCAATGTGCAAATGAGTCTTGCCAAAACTTCATCTCATCCCTGTCCACAAGAAAGAGGACCTTGTTACCAGGCAACTCCTGAGAACTTCTGGGGCAAACGGAACGTCCTACATTATGTACCAATAAGTGCTCCCTGGGCCTGTCCTGGATGGCAAGGTAGGGCTGGTCTCTGACTTTGTCCAAACTTTGCTGTGGGCATGTGGGATGTTGCAATTCTAGAGACTCTGTGTTTCTGGTGGGAGTGGAGAATTCCCTAATCTGATTGGGTTTCCTGTGACACGCGTTCCGTGAACTGATTTACTTTTTGAAAAGATCATTTTACAACTAAAGATTAGACTCAAGAGAACCAGAAATGACCAAAATCTCTCTGGACATTGAGCACAATATTGTAGGCTGGAAATGAGGGCCTAGACCAGGTAGTGAGTGTAATGAGCATTATTAGGTCGTCAGGAAAGTCATGACATCTTTTTCTATGCTTTTCTATGCAAAAAGGCAACCCCATATTTTAGTGACAGCATTGACGGAACTTGCTGAATCCGTGAAAGAAAGTAAGTAAAAAATAGAGTAGGGAAGTATAGTGTAGGCAGGTATTTTACTGGTGAAGTCAGAGCCACCAAATTTTGTGTTTATATATAATAATGTATGTAATAAAATTATGTGGATAAAGCATAGAACATAGTATGAATAGGTGGTACTTATAGATTAATAAAGCATAAACATGTATTAAATGTACATTTACAACGGTAAGTGACACGGGGTCAAGTCATCCTTGGCAGTTCCTCCATCAGCTTCTGAGCAGTGCGGACTTGCTCAGAAGTCTTTCAGACAGCCACAGCAATGGCCTCACCCTGACTCAGCTCTGTTTGGGGCTTGCAGCTGGAGGGTGGCGTGGTGTTTGCTCTTCCCCTAGGTGTGTCAGGCACAGCGAAATGGTGTTTTGATTGGGCTGGCTGAGCTTCTGTAAGGAGGAGATGTTTGGTGTTTTGGTTGTCTGGCTAATGCTGCGTAATCCAGAGAGTGGGTACCCAGGGCACCAGATGTCCAAACTTCCCGCCTTTGAAGACAAACACCACAGTTCTCAGATTATCAAAGATAAAAATATATGCAGTGAAAGGAACGGGGAAGAGCTGAGGCTGGGCTGCCTCCTGTCCTGGAACCTTCTGAACTCGCCCTGGTTAAGGGAAGGCAGGTTTTCCTCTCTGCAGGGCTGAGTCATCGAGTCAGACCCTGGTTGTTTCAAGACTGGTGTTCTACTTGCCATTTTCAACTGAAAGGGAAGGACAGCTCTGGAGTATCTCTGTGTACCTGGCGGTGGAGAGGAATTCTCAGGTATCTGTTCCTGGTAATATGATTGCTAATAAGTCATTTCCATACCAAGTGCACAGATATAAGAGCCCAACTTCTCACTTGGCAGCTCGCTTCATTCAGACAGCTGGTAAGTGGGAGAGCTGGAAAAGCTGACCCTTTACCTTAAAGATCTCTGCTGCTGCATCACGCCACAGGAAGGGTTTGGCTGCACTGTCTGAGAGTGGGAGTAGAGAGAGAAGGGGGGATTTGACTCATTAGAAAGGTCTAGTTTCTTTTACAGTTGTATCATTTATGATCTGAAAGTTTTATATTTAGAGGATTTGTCTTAATTTTTAAGAGCTAACAAAAGGGTAATAACATAGAAGACATAATCATCCTAGAATATTGTATCTATTTTATTTTCCTCCTTTTTTTCACAAGAATGGAAGAAGAGAAGTTATGGAGGTAGAGTGAGCGTATTCACAATTCTCTTGAGAAGTTTTGTTTTTAAAGGGAAGAGGAATAGTAGCTAGAGAGAAGTAGTGTGAAGAGAGAGGAGTGTGAGTGTGTGCATGCACACGTGTGTGTGTGGTAGGTGGGGGCAAGAACTGGAAGTATAATTATCTACAAGTAGGCAAGATCTAGTAGTGATCTTTTGTATCTAGTTTTCATATTACATTTAATCACATATAGCTTTGCATTGTACCACTTTTCTTTTTCCAGCACAATTACCATGCCTATCGGTCAAGACAAAGACATTCCCCTACACAGCAGCAGCAGCAAATAGCTTCCCATGCTTTTGTCAGTCAAACGTACCTTTTCCCGTCCTCCTCCTTCCTGTGCTCTCGTACCCACCGCCGCGTTACCACATCCTTCCTCTCTCTAGTATCTGCAGTTGCCCTTCCTGCTGCTCTACCTTCCAGATGCTCCGTTTTTGCCCTGAAGTGGTCATATCTATTTAAAGATAGGATTTCCTGTGAGTCCTGTGACGGCCTTGTTTGCTCTTTAGAACTGTATAGTCTCCTTCTACCTTGTTTTACAAATGAGAAAAGCAGGCAAGATAGACACTAGTCTGAGGCCGGGAAATAACTTGATATTATCGCTCAACGTGTCCATAGACTTCTGGGCCAAAATACATCTGAGAGCAGGACATACATTTTAGTCAATCAGGCATGTGATGAGCATGGCACTTAGGTCTTTTACGTGCTCTGTATTTCCTTCCATAGAAAAGTTCCATGCAGTATTTTACTTCTCCTCTCAGACTTTATGAACTCAGAGGAGGGCACACACACACACACATGCACACACACATGCACACACACATGCACACACACATTTAGCGTGTGATCCCTACACTCTCACAGCACTTGGTCTGCACCACTCATGGCAGAGCAGGGATCATTCCCAGCTGGCATGATGAGGGAAGACATCACAGAGACTGGCTCCTTTTAACTTGGCCTTGAAGAAGTCTACTTCAATAGGGAATTAAAGACATGGGTTATCGCTGGCACTCTCCCTACTAAAACTCCAACAAAGCCAGCCTCTCTCTGTTCAGAGTACTTCTACTCTGCCTTGCACAAGCAATCGGTCTTTGCAGTAGGAGCTATGGTCCTGTGTTGCATCAAGCTTGTCTAGCTTGTCCTACTTAGTGGATTTGCATGTAGGAGGTATTCAGTAGGTTCTTCAGCTGAGAGCCAAAGTCTCTACAGGAGTCAAGAATGCCACCAGCGCTTGGCAATGCTGAGTACAGAGCTGACTATACAGTCTGAGATGGCTAAGAACAGGACTCCCTGGAAACTGGCCTGAGAGGATCGGAGTCCAGCATCCTTCAGGATCAAAGGAGACCCCAGAGTGTAGTCAACCATTTGTCAAATTAGTAAGTTTACTTTCACCAGACTCATGAATGACATTATCAGAGAAGATCAGGCGGTCGGGAAAGAGAAGTGTCTTAAGTTGCCGATGAAGAAAAATTCTTTTGTAATAATATTTTGATCTTGATGAAAGTAGAGTCATTTGAGTAGAAGCCATGAAAATGTTGGCGAAATCATATAGATTTCTTCCTCACACACAGAAAATTCTGAATCGATTCCAGTTGATGTTGAAGGAAGTTACACTTGCTCCATAGAACAGATAATCTTGCAGTCCTGTGAATCGTTAGCCATGCAATATTTTAATCATAGACAGACTGAGCTAATAAATATCATCTCTCATTTCCCTGCGCTTTAGTTGAGATAAAGTTTTAAGATAAGTTTTCCAGAAAAAAAGCTTAAGAAACATTCTTTTGTGATACATGAAAATTGATTAAAAAACAACTTGCATTTTCAACACTGTTAGTGGAATCACTGTACTAAGTTATATCTCAGTCAGGAAGTAGCTCACAAGGCTGCCTGAATCACTTTGATGTTGTGGGGAGTCGGGCAGGTACCCTTCAGAACATCCTCCAGTGCTGTAAAGATTAATCTAGTGCTGCTTTAATTCCTAGCAACACTGGGCATGACTAATGTTGTGTATTCCCCAATACCTCACTCCATTTTTCTCTGGGTAAGTCCATTATCCATGAGGTTAAGAGTAGGGCTTCAAGCCAGAGTGCCCTCATTTGAACCTGGACTCTCTGCCTACTAGCTGTGAGCCCCTATACAAATCCTGAATCTCCCTGGGCCCTGGTGAAATGCGTAAGTCAATAGTGCCTACCATATAGGGCTGTCATGAAGATGAAATCAATTGATACCCACATGGTGTCAGCTACACAGTAAGCACTAAGCAGACGTTGCTTAAATAAATACGATTACTCATTTGGTTACTTCTTAAGGTTTCTTTTTTTTCTTTGTTTCATGAAAGAGAGACACAGAGTGAGAATAGCCCAGTGGGGTCCATGCTATGATCGACGCACAGCTGAGCCACTGAATGGTTGGCCAGTGTGACAGTCACACCCAGTGTGCAAGGGGCAGCCCTGGGACACAAACCCGGGACCTCCCTGGGTGAGTCCAGTGTGTTACCACTGCCCCACCGTCTGCGCCCAAGTTAGTTGATTGTTCACTGTTGGATTTTGAAAACGACTCCTATAATTTGACTTGCTTTATTCTCCGCATCCAACTGCCAATACATGTACCTGTATATGTGACATTCTTCATTCCAGGAACATGATCCCACCGAGTTTTCACACACACATTTTTCTTTTCCTCAAAAATATTTCAATAATAATCTGTTATGCTTTCCTTTAGCTCTTGTTTTATCTCTCCAGCTCCATGGAGCACAGCTATTTCCATAGAACTAGAAAAGTAAAAGGGTCCTGGAAAGGTCATTAATTTTTTTTTCCTTCCCTCTGCCACCCACTTTCAAGTCAGACCACACACATAAATCATCCCAGATTTTCCCTTCATCACGATGTGGTTTCCATTCACGTCTACTCTGCCCTCAGGAAACTATTTTGCTACAGGTGGGCAAAGTCAGCACTAATGGAATTACCCTATGTTTTCAGGAAAGCTTCTGAGGGCAAAATAGCCCACTAACAGGGCCAGTTTCACAAGTTTCTTGTCACTGATTAAGTTTAATTATTTCCTGTGCTATTGTTGAAAACCCAGAAATCAACGTTTTGTTCACAGTTCATGTCCAGACTGAATAATCTCATGGCTAAACTCTCACAGTGCTTCTAAAATAATTCTTTAATAGGCTTTCTTCCCTTTTTTTAAATAGTGACTACAAGGTGAAAAGGTACTATTTCATTGTCACTGGGTCATAAGCTCTAATTATACCCTGTAACTTCATGAGAGAAATGTAACTAGTCAATTCAGTTTTTAAAAACTAAAGATAGTTATATGAAATTTCAACGTGTAAAGTGGTTGTTTGAAATTTTCACTACTAATTGGTTCATTTAACAACTACACATAGAGACAAAGCCTCAAATTAAAAAAAAAGAAAGTCTCATAGGTTCAAAAAAACTGACTGGGACTAGTTACATATGTTTTAGACATTATATTTTCATGTCTGGTGAGTACAGGATTAAGAGTGAGGTTGTGTGCTTTATTTTAGAGAGTCTTCAAAACTTCTTGAAATACCCCTTCTGCTTACATCTGGCATCTGCTGTTCTTCAGGGTGATGTAACCAAGGCTACGCAACCCTCTACATCCTTCAGGAATCCTCCTCAGTTTGCCACTCCTGCCATGGAGTCAAGGGTGAGGACTTCTTGGTGGGTGGAAGATACTGTTCAATGCAATGAGCCCTTGGATGCCGCTATTCCAAACACTTCCTCTGCCGAAGAGCGAGATGAAATCACTTAAAAATTCAATATTTGAGTCAAGGTCTTTACCTCTCAAGGCACTGAGTGGTGTCGCTCCCAGCTCATAAGCTCATCATTCCTAGGTGTGAGTGAAGGTCCTTTTCCTTTTACTCCTTGGGAGAACAGATTAGGGAGAGTTCAAACTGTAAACATCAGCATTTTCTCTGATTTTTTTTTTTTTAAACAACAGAAAGAAAGCCAATCATGCAGTAAGTCCTTCTTTGGCACCCACTATGTGAGTGGTCTTCAAAGAGTTCATGATAAATTAGGACCCAACAGTGGCATTCAGTGATGTAACTGGACACATGCACGTGGTCTGGGCTGGCCAGTGCTGGGACCGAATCGCAGTGTGAAGAGCCTGTTCTTGCCCTTTGAAGAACTAAACAGATTTTCTTTAAAATTTTATGGAAAATGTATATTATAAAAAAAAATGTGCATGGATTCCAAGATGTTTTTACACCAAAAATAAAACTCACATTCTAATTCCAATTTACCATAAACTTTTCAAAGTACCCCTGTAAGTGTAGTTCTAAGAGTCGTAGAGGTGAAGGAACATGGGGAGGGGAAGCTGAGTTCCTTTAGAGGGAGGGCGCTGTGCCCATTGGATATTGACTATCATTCTATGTCTTCAGGTCATAAGTGGAGAATCTGGCAGTCACTTCTACTTGGAGAGAATAGGGAGGTGTTTGCACAACCCCTCCTGGACATATCAGAAAAGGCCCCCTTGAATAGAGTTAGTCAAGCCTGGTGCCCGCTCCCCCCCCCCCCAATCAATCTGCGCTCTGGTCGCTCTGTGTGGTGTACCGTGCCTCTTGTCTCAGGGACCTGGGAGTAGAGTAAACTGTTTCATGAGCCTCTTCTGTGTCTCTTGTGGCTACATCTGACTGGTCATAACAGAAAAGAATGCAGGACAACAGTTTAGAATTCTTATTCATTGGAAGCTAAATCATCTCAAAATCTGGTTCTTGGGCTAGATCCATGGGGCAATGGTTAGGGTGGCACTGAGGAAGCCAGGTTCTATATAGCCTACCAGGGTTCCAGTCACTGTTCCAGGCAGCTTGAAAAACTCACTAGGTATGTGTAGGCATCCAGACCCCTCACAGGATGGAAACTTAGGAAGAGGAGGGATTGTGGCATGACCAGGCCCTATTGGGGCTTGTGTATTCTCTCTGTCTCTCTCTCTCTCATGCACCCAATACATCAATGGCAGAAGAAGAAAATACAGTTCTCTAATACCTGCAAGATGTGTGTGTGTGTGTGTGTGTGTGTGTGTGTGTGTGCGTGTGTGTGTGCGTGTGTGTGTGCGTGTGTGTATAGCACCTCTCCTCATGCCAGTGTGCTAGGATAGCAAGGTTAGAACGACTCTCGGAGTTGGTGAAAGGCAGTGGAGGGCTTATACAAAGACAGTGACATGCTCCATTGGCATCTGGGCAAGGTTTCTCTGCTGGTACTGAGGGGGAGGAATTGAAGAAAGCAGGGCATGGAAGTGGAGTGCACTAAAGGTCATTTCAGTAGTCTAGGAAAGGGATTGGAGTTGTGCCTTTTGAGAGAGAGAGAGAGAGAGAGAGGGAGGGAGGGAGGGAGAGAGAGAGGGGAAGAATGGAAGGGAAAGCCTCGCTCATCTAATGGTATGGATGGGGAGGGAGAGGAAGGGAGTGAGGAGGTTGAGATGGGCAGGTAACCAGCAGCAGTAGAGCAGAATGGATGGAAGGCAAGGCATTATTTTTAGAAGTGGTAAGACTTGGGCTGGCACAAATTCCTGTTTTCCATCCTTGGGTTCTTTGAAGAGTAGCGAGAGAAGGAAGGACCAAGTTTAGAAGTTAAATAATATAATTGAAATGCTTGATTTGCACAGAGCAGGTTTTGGCAGACTTTTTCTGCAAGGGAGAGAGAATAAGTACTTTAGCCTCTGAAAGCCTTCCTGTGTGTCACCACTATTCCAGTCCGCTTTACAGAGTCAACAGCATAGACAGTATGGAAACAAGCAAGGCTGGCCGTGTTCCAATAAAACTTTATTGACAAAAGCAGGCAGCCAGCCAGATGTGACACCATCCATAGTTTGCCAAGGCCTGATATAGAAAGGCTACAGTAAGAAATATTTTCTCTGTGACTTTGTGGGACGGTCACATTTATTCTCATTAAATCACATAATTTTTCAACTAAATACCAAAAGCATGTCCAAATTTTCCCCAAATTTTTCTGTTTCTTTTCAGTGTAGATTTCTATCAACCACATATTTTTTCATAATTAAAGATGGTGGCAGGCTTCAAATACAAAACAGTTACCAATTTACATTAAGTGCATATTAAGCAACACCAGAATAAAGATGAATATTTTCAGCTGAGAAATGTGTGTGTGTATAAAACAACATTCTTTTAAAAATACTACAGATGATATAATTTACAGTATAAATTCTGGTGGAAATATTCATAGTTAGCTGGCTCATCCTTTTTAAGATTTGTAGGCCAAGAATATTGGTAAGGTTTTAATGTCTCACAAAAGTGATTTTTAATAAAAAAAGAAATGTGAACAAAACCTCCAGAGATGGCAGGCGAAACTGTGATGTCTCTGTAGTGAATGACATGTACTTTTGAAAGCCAAGAAAGCTTTCCTTGTGTACCAGGTAGGGAAAATGTGATCTAGTCACTAAAACAGTGCATTAGGCAACACTATTTCTTAATAAGCAGCACAAAATAAG